CAACCTCAAACTCCTGGGCTTAAGCAATTCTCTTGCCTCAGTCTCCCAAGTAGTCTACCTGCCACAATGCCCAGCTATTTTTTGTTGCAGTTGTCATTGCCGTTTAGCTGGCCGGGGCTTGGTTTAAACCGGCCACTCTCAGTGTATGTGGCTGGCTCCGTAACCACTGTACTACAGGGGCCAAGCCCTCCCTCTCTTTCTTCACACTCTTTTCCATTCATTCATTCATTCACAGGTGCCATTGTAGGTGTTTGCAAAACATCAGGAACAGGGCTGGGGAATTCTTTCTTTGGAGCATGTCCAGACAAAGAGAATAAGAAAAGGTGCCCCATGAGGAATAAGCAAAAGAACTAGGGAAGTTTTGCCTGGAGAAACAAAAGCTCGGGGAATTCTTATATTTGTCCTTGAACATCTGTGGGGTTACCATACAGGGGAGAGAGTTAATTTTGTCTTAAAGGCTCCAAGAGTCAGAGTTTAAAGCTGAAAGAGTCGAGTCTCTGTACAGGGTCAGAAGAAATCTTTTAACTCTTGGAGGTGTCCAGCAGAAGAGCAGACTGTCAGATAATGTGCTTTAAATAGTTGGATTCAACAAGCAAGAACAGCACACCTGCTTGGTTTAAGACATAAGAGTTCTCAGTCTGTACTAAGACATCAGAAGCCTACAGATATATTGTTTGAGATCATTTCTAATAGGAAGGATGTAAGTTGAAGTGAAAGACAAAGTAGCCACTGAGGACCTTAGAAAACATGGTTAGAGACCCCTGACCTCCTAATGACATGTCCTGCTCCTGTTATACACATGCTGAATGACCAATGACCACTTCTTCCTTTATTCATCTGTGAATTCTGTCCCCTGTTGAATTGTTGAAGGATCCATTCAACCATCATTTGTTAATCACCCGCTACCTGACTGATGTTGTGCTGGGCACTAGGGATACAAATGAATAATGAAGGATACATAGCTCCTGCCCTCACAGGACTTAAAGTTGAAGGGCAAATATATGCAAAGAAATATATGCGATGAATGTTAAAATGGAACTCAAGGATGAATGTTCAGTGGAACTCAAGGATGCACCTTATGATGGTGAAGATTGTAAGAAGACACCCTCTACGCATAAGAAGGTCCTATAACTCACCCTGGGCCACGCCAGGCAGTCCCTTCTGATGGACCTAAAGATAATTAGGAGGTTAATGGACTGATGAAGGAATGAAGAATGTAAATGTGAAGGGAAGAGGGGGCACCTAGACCCAAGGCAACTACTTACCTATGACCCCTTCAGAGAACTAAAAACACTGGAGAGAGATGAGAAAGGAGGTCTGACTCTCAAGAGGCCTTGTGCTAAGGCGTTTGGGCCATGGGGAGCTAAGGAAGAGCTCTGAGCAGTGGGTTGGTATGACCAGAAATGACCCTCTTAGAGCACTCTTCTAGTCCATCTTATATTATGGCTTTTCCTGAATATATTTTCTCTATCCCCTCAGTGTGAGCTCTCCTGGAGGACAGAAGCTGGTTTTTCTCTGTAAGCAGCTTATTAAACATCTGATGAAAGAGAGCTGTGCACAGGGACCATCCCATCAGAGGGGCAATGGACCCCCAACCATGACAGTGTATGAGACTCTGTCATGCTCTGATTGTATACGTCAGAACAGTTTCAGAAAGAGGTGATGTTTTCTTAAAGATCCAGCAAGCTTGTACAGATGCTTTCCAGAACAGGCTTCCTCTATGTTGTTAGTAGAGAAACCAGATGATTGAAATATTTAAGGTGACGAATATCCCAAGTACCCCAAGATTTATAAATTATATGAATATATTAAATTATCACATGTACCCCCAAACCATGTATATCTATTGTAGCTCAATAAAAAATTATTTTTAAAAGCATATAGATAAGTTCTGATAAAGTTCTTGGAAAAAAGCATATGGTCGTATAAAATTAAGTCATATACACTGGATATTTATTCATTCACATATTACTGAAATTGGACTTCTCTGGAAAATCTTACGCTAAATGTTCATCCTATGTGTGAGACGTGGAGATGGTAGAGTATTTATAGAAGAGAAGACCTGGGGATGGGCAACCTAGTGCTTTTTTAGGTTTTATGTCCTACTTAACTATCAAGATCCTTTTAAGAATAGAAAAATAAGTCCTTGACATTTGGATGGCAATAGAAGCATTTCCCATTTTTTACACATCCTTGCTTCCACCAGAGGTTATGTAATGCAGATGGGACAAAGGTTGGTTCAGCACCTAGATAAGAATCAAACACGTATTGAGCACCTACCGTGTGCCAAGTTCTTCCCTATACATGAGAGGGAGCATGGTAGAGTGGAAAGGACCTGAGATTGGGCAACTCAGGGGATTCTCATCTCAGCTCTGTGTGACCTTGAGCAGGTCCTGCTCCCTCTAGACCTTGAGATTTCCCATACATTACAGGAGGTTATAGTAGGTAAGTGGTGGAGGAGCCTTTCAGTAAAGATTATATGTGAAAAAGCCAAGAGACAAAATATAAAAAGAGAGGATCTGTGCTCAGGTTTAAGACAGGGGTGGAAGTTCAGCGCTGCATTGCCCGATCGGCTGCTCAAGCCTGCTCAGTAGTATCTATGGGATTCCAGGGCTTCAAAACAATGGTTTGCTTCTGAGATGGATTTTTTGCAGGGACATTCAGTGATTCTAAATTTCTTCTCTCACCACAGGTATCTCAGCCATCCTCATCCCACGCCTGGATCTGGTCATTTCCCTAGTGGGCTCTGTGAGCAGCAGTGCCCTGGCCCTCATCATCCCACCCATCCTGGAGATCATTACCTTTTATTCTGAAGACATGAACTGTGTCACCATTGCCAAGGACATCATGATCAGCATCCTGGGCCTATTAGGGTGTATATTTGGGACATACCAATCGCTCCATGATTTGGCCCGGCCCATCCACCGTTCTGTGGCCAACTCCACAAGGGTCATGCGTAACTATTTATTTTTATTCTAATATCTCTCCCTTCCTCCCACCCCCAATTTGACTCCCATGTGGATGTTATATATATAGCAAACCCATCATCTCTATATTATGGCGTCTTTTTATCTTTCCAAGGTAAATGAAGATGACTAGGGATGTCTTACCTAGAGAAACAAAGGCTTAGTTAGTACTGATGCCTCTCAGGCTATACCTTTTTTTGGTTTTGGATTTCTTTGGTAATTTCTTACACCTCTGAACCAAATCGCATTCAACCATTCCTATCACCAGTCTCATTTAATGGAAAAAGGCATGTCAGTCACCCCTGTAACCCTGTAAACAAGAGATCAAGCATCAGTGCAAACTAAAAAAAAAAATTTTTCCCTATCCTGCAGTAGCTGCCCCCAAGAGGGGCAGATTTTAAAAAGTGTATGCTAGAGGAAGGAAGTTTTTCTACTAAGATATACTAAGTGAAAGCATCACAGACAGAATAAAAGCAAAACTTCACATTAATTGTGTCCAACTACCAGCTCTGCCGCTAATTTCCTATGGGACTTTGAACAAATTCCTCATCTTCTCTCAGTCTTAGCTTCTCTGTCTATGAAATGAGACCCCCATCTCTAAAATGAAAGGTTTGACTAACTTATTAAGGGCTCTGTCAACTCTGACAATCTGAAAGTGAAAAAAAGAAATTAGTTTATTTTCCAACCACAAAGACTGATCGTGCTAACTAAGGATATGGAGTCACTGAAACCCCATGTGCTGTTATTGTGAATGTTCATTGGTGCAGCTAACTTGATGAACAGTATGTAGTTTCCTTAAATGTTAAACATATACCTACCATAGGATCCAACTATCCTGCTCTAAGATATTTAACTTAAAAAAGAAAATACATACCCATTAAAAGACTCATACACAGGCTAAGCTTGATGGCTCACATTTGTGATCCTAGGACTCTGGGAGGCCGAAGCAGGAGGATTGGTTGAGTTCAGGAGTTTGAGATCAGCCTGAGAAACAGCAAGACCCTGTCTCTACTAAAAACAGAAAAATGAGCTGGGCCAGGTGGCAGGTGCCCATACTCTCAGCTACTCAGGAGGCTGAGGCAGGAGGATCTCTTAAGCACAGGAGTTTGAGGTTGCTGTGAGCCAGGCTGAGGACATGGCACTCTGTCTTAAAAAAAAAAAAATACCGGGTGTGGTGGCTCATGCCTGTAATCCTAGCACTCTGGGAGGCTGAGACAGGTGGATTGCCGGAGGTCAGGAGTTCAAGACCAGCCTGAGCAAGAGTGAGACCCCCATCTCTAAAAACTAAGTGGGCATTGTGAAAGGCACCTGTACTCCCAGCTACTCGGGAGGCTGAGACAAGAGGACCACTTGAGCCCGAGAGTTTGAGGTTGCTGTGAGCTATGATGCCACAGCACTCTACCAAGGGCAACATAGCAAGACTCATGTCTCAAAAAAAAAAAAAAAGAAAGAAAGAAAGAAAGAAAGACTCGTTCACAATCATTATTTATAATTGTAAAAAAATGGGAAACAATCTAAATGTCTATCAATGGGGAATGATACATAAATGAACTGTGACATAGCCATACAACAGAACACTACTCAGCAATGACCAGAAACAAACTGTTAATGCACACGATAAAACGGACAAATCTCAAAATAACTATGCCAAGTAAGAGGATGCAGACAAAGAATACCACGAACTCTGTGATTAGATTTATATAATTTTAAAAGTCAAAAAATGCAAACTAATCTGTAGTAGCAAAGCAGATCCGTTGTTGCTTGAGGGAGAGAGGGGTGAGGGGCAGGTGTGACAAAGGAGCACAGAAAGCCTTGGAAGTGGCGGGTATAAAAATGTTCACTACCTTGATTGTGGAGATGGCTTCACAGGAGGGTACATGGGGCTAAACTTATTGAATTGGACACTTGAAAAATGTGTAGTTTATTATGTATCAACTATACCTCAATAAAGCTGTTAAAAATAGAACGTGAAGCATGATTCAGTTTTTCACTTCAAACAATCACATGCATATAGTCAAATAATTTTGAAGAATATACCTAACATAAATGTCCAATGAAATTTCTCCAAGTGCATGGAATAATGAGTGAAATGTTAAGCTTTTTTTGTTGGTGGTGGTTGCCTATATTGTTGCATGTTATAAAAAATAATGTGTTGATTTTTATAACTAAAGAAACTTCATTTAAGGGAGAAGTGATTAATGATGATTTGTTTCATTCTAATGGAATTATACTTTTTAAAGATGTTTTATGGTGCTTTTTATTGTGAACGATAATACCCATGGAAGCATGTAAAACATAAATCTACACTATGATGAATATTTATGGAGAACTTCACTTTCTAATAGAGTATTAATTCTGTGGCTTAAATAATAGAAATTCCAGCTGCAGTTAGCAGAGTTCCCTTCCCATAATCCATCACTCATTTGCCGGTGGTCAACTGTCAAACAACAATTGTTGCAGGAAGACGAGGCCCAAAAGAGAGAAAGAGCACCCAAATACCACGTTTATAAGAGGAAGGGCTTTATTTGTTGGCTGGGAGCTTAGGGCATAGAAGATTTCCAAATGGCCGCGCTCCCCGCAACTGGCTTGGTCTTTCCCTCTTTATCGACAGTCAAAAAGTTCCACCCCATAGGTACTCTTCTCATTGACCAGTTTGAATCAAGCAGGAGATGCTACTCCAGCCCCTACAGAATTACAAGATTTCACAGAACTTGGAAATTTCCAAGTTCTAGGAAGTTAAGTTTACAAATTCCCAAGAGCTGAGTCACCATGGAGAGGACCCCACAGGTGTATCCTTGTGGTCTCCTTGAGAACACCTGTTCTTCTAGACCTCACCCTTCTCAGGTATCCTCTCTCACAATCTCTCAGAGGAGATGTGGGGTAGTTGTGGTGTCATGAAAGAGAAAAAGGTAAAAAGGAACATCCTTTCACTGGATAGAACACTATAAGCCAGTAAGTCTTTGCTCTTTTGAGACCCAGAGGGTAAGCCTGTAGAAGGTGAGGCTTTGAAGAAAACATGGAAGCCTTACTATAGAATATGGGGCAGTGAAATGGAGGTAAGGCAGTGGTTTATGACTTTGGGTTGGGGGGAGTCATGTATATTACCGAGATCTTAATAAAAGCCATAACTCCTCCTCCCGTAAAATTCAAATTCACATATACTCATATGCATACGTGCTAAGTCTTGTATGCACTTACAGGAACAATGATGTGTCTAGACCTTGGATTACAAAAGAACCTCTGGAAAAACAGAATGCAACAATTTTTTATTCTCATAGCATTATATGATCTACAGATGGTAGATAGCCAGCCCAGACACTAATGCAGAATAGAACAATATGCAAAATCAGACAAGGGAGGTAAGCTACCAGATAAAGAAACTCAGGCTCCCACATAACTGTCATGGAGAGCACTTTCTGATTGCAGTCCTCACTCTGAGATCACTGACAAAAACTAAGCAGGTTGTTCCAGTTGTGACAATGTAGGCTGAATTCTCTGCTGCTATGTGCTTCTTTGGCAAAAACTGGGAGCTGGTGTTACGTTCAGGAGTTTCTCAAAGACTATACTGTCAGACAAGTTATATTTAAAGAGGAGTCCTTTTTTTGAAGGCTCAGCGACTGCCTTGGTATCCCAACATGGGTTTCTGAGAGCAGCCCCGAGTGCTAAAGTCTGCATCCTGGTTGGCACGCAGGCTGCCCAGGTGCACTCAGGTAGGTTAGCAAGCATTGTACAGAAGCAGAATTTTGCAGTTAGTCATACATCTTTGTTTCAGTACTTTCTCCACCTGGTATTTCTTAAAGGTCGGTCTGGGGACAATTGGTACTTCCTGGTCCATTTCTCAGGGGAGTTAGTCAAGCAGGAAGTCAGTGAGCGCTTTCCCATCTATCTTGGGAGTGAACCAGACTCATTCCATTTTGCTGAGGGCTTGCAGCCCAGGAATTTGCTAGGAGTTAACTGGTATTTTTCTACCTTAGTCTAAGCCTAATATGGGGAGCTGGCATAGAGATATTTGGGAGGATTCAAAGAATGTGGTAAAGTTCCTAAGCCCTGGGACCTTCAGAATCCTTTCCCATTGCATCTCTGTACTGGGTGAATGTGAGCTATCTCAACATGGTAGCGATGAACAGTGGCTGGGGTACAGGGGAATAATACATGAAGTCAGTTTAGGAGGCTGAATTCTGATTTTCAAGACCATTGAAAAAAAGAAAAAGGAATGAGAAAGTTGAGATTTCTCAACAACATAAGTCCTGCATACGGGGTGGGGGTGGGGAAGTCACCCATACGAGACATTAAGAGTTGGCTACCAAGTAGACACAAATAACATTAGGGCAGTGGTTTATAAGCCACAGTGCCCCTGGGAATTAACCTGACAGGCAAAGCAACTCTGTAAGGATCTATCAATAGGATTTGTTATTGGTAAACAATGTCCAGGCTGTGCCTGACTCAAACCCACATAGGAGCAATTACACAATTCCCTGATCTAAGTTCAAAAATCCAAACAAAAAGGCAGAACCTCTCTCTGACGTATCAACCCCAATTGGAAGTGAAATTGTTCTGTCCTCTCACAAGGGGAAAATTCTCAGGTCCCTTTATAACTAGTATCCTGTGAGGAGAGCTCAGTGCAAAATCTCATTTCCCATCACACTTTTATCTACTAATTTTGCATCCAAAGATGTTTCTTGTCTGCGACAATTATTCCTATGGCTTTACCTAATGGTGTGTGTGTGTCTATCATTCCTTCTGATGCAGAAGGTGCCCAGTGAAGGGACGAGGGTTTCCTGAACTCACCAAGGGAGTTCTTGGCTTTGTGCTGGAAAGAATTTGAAAGTGAGCCAACTAGCAACAGATAGTTTACTGAGAGATAAGGGCAGTGGTTTGTAAGCCACAGTGCCCCTGGGAATTAAGCTGACAGGCAAAGCAACTCTGTAAGGGTCTACTCCACAGAGTAGGGGGTCCTTTCCTGAGTAGGAAGAGGGCCCCTTATTGGGCAACGGTAATGTCTTTAAATGTTCCTGTTAGGAAGCAGCCCTAGGTGACTAACATTATCATCTTGAGCTCAGGCCATAAAGGTTAATCACAAGCTGCTGTCACAGAAAAGTAAGCTGCAGTTTGCAAGGCCTCGAACTTCATGTATCATCCATCCTTGGATGGTCTCAGGCTGGCCCATGGCTGGCAACTTCCTTGTTCAGCGTGGTTAGGTCAAAATGCCTGAACTCAGGCCCTCTCAACCTTCCCTTTCTGCCTTATCCTTACATTATTCTACATTTCATCGACATTCTATTGTGTATGCGATTCTGTTACGTATTGTTATTCAATGCATCATAACCCTTCTTGTCATTATTTATTTTGTTGTTCACATTGTCCCATATTGGGCCATTGAGAGTCCTTTAAGTTCCCATGTCTTTTCAATATGCTCCCACGATCTCATCACCTACAAGATATTTTTGCCCGAATACAAACACGGAATACCTTCCGAGTTGCGAACCCTATCCCTGCAAAAAACAAATTGACTAACTAGACTACAGAGTTTGCGTACAGTTCCTTCTGTCTTTACCTTTCTAGTAACTCATCAAAATATTGTAACTCGTTCTTTTTATTCTCCACACCATTCAGATATGGTTACGTTATTCATCTGAAATACCATTAGTTCATTTGTTACTGTTTGTCTTTCACTTTGAATTCTCCTCATCTCCTGGCTGATTTTAGTTATCATGGGGGTGTGAGAACCATTACTATGGTTCGAAGCAGAATACACACCAATATACCCAGAGGACCCACCCCTTACACCCTGTATGCCTCCTCATCCTTTCCTTTTCTTTCCATTCTATCCTCCCACCCTCTATAGATAACGAATCTCGTTAGTTTCTGCCCAATCTTTCCTTATTTATTTTGCACAAACAAGCAGGTACACATATCCTCTTACATTCTGTTCTTTCTAACATGAAATAGCAGCACATTATACTTTTTGCACTGAACAAAATATTCTGAAGACAACTCCATGTCAATTCTTTTTTTTTTTTT